GACATGGCATAGGAGGAGGTGCCTTTCTACCTTAGCTGCCACTGCATAGCCCCAAATCAACATAAGTCAGGGGTGGAGGGAACCTTACCTGTTAACATGAGGCTGTCCTCTCATACTACCCACTTGGGGCAGCAAAATGAATTGAGACTAACCTTTGCGAATAGGGATTTTGGGGGTTAGATTTCCCTGTAGATTGAATTTAACCTGACAACTAGTATGTGTATATAGTTTTTTTTATTTAAAAAAGCAGTCTGGGATCTATATTCATTCTAACCATCTTGTCCCATAAGAGGTCTCTTGGGATTGAATCAAACGCCGCCTTAAGGTCTAAAAAGGCAGCAAAAAGCTTATTGCCTGGTTTCCCACTGTATTTAGTAACAAGGTGTGATAGTACTGCACAGTGGTCCAGAGTGGATTTTTCCCGACAAAACCCTATTTGTTCTGGTCCTAGAATGTTATGGTCAGTCATCCATCCATCTAGTTTAATTAGAAGGTGTTTGGCATAAAGTTTGCCAACTACCGATAAAAGGCTGATCGGTCTACAATTTTTGGGAGAGGAAGGATCACCCTTTTAAAAAATAAGGACAATGATTGCGTTTGTCCATGACTTTGGCATTATTCTTAAGGAAAATAAAGCAGCCAAAGGAGGCGCCCACCATTCTGGGTGAGACTTCAGTAGTTCTGGGGAGACTGCATCAGGGCCAGGGGCTTTTTTTGTTTTGAAATAAGTGATCAGGGTAATAATATCCTCTTGGGGGTCTCAGGGGAATCACATTCTGTGGACTTGGGAAAACATGGGCCATTTTCATTAAAAAGGTTTAAGAAATATGAAAACCAGGTATAGGAGGGAATTGATGGTGATGAAATTAATTTCCCCCAAGAAGCGCCAGAAATTAGGGCCCAAAATTTTCCACAATCATTTGACCTGGATGCTCTGATCAATAGTTCCCACTGGTCCCTGGCAAACTGGAGCTTCTTGGCTTTGACTAAGTCTGACAGCTGTTGTTTAACAGTGAAGTATACCTTCGGTAAGGAAGACTTTTTTGGCTCCGATAATGGTGATAAATGGAATGGAGAGTGGACTTCAAACACAAACATTCTCTGTTGTACCATGCGCTATACTTGGGTTTGTGTCTGGAGGGCAAAATGGGAGCAGGGTTAAGTAGGGAAATAAAGGTGGAGACTAAATTATCATATGAAGATACAGTTTCAGTGGGGTTTGAAGAAGTCATAAGAGAGGGGAGCAGGTCAATAATCTCTTGCTCGGTGACTAATAGCTGGACTCTCTTGGTATGGTTACATGACCAAATAGATCTAGGGAGGGACTCAGATGATAAATCATTAACTGTAGGGGCTAGATCAGGTTGAAGGTGTATCTGGGGGGTAATTGAGAGGACTAGAGGGAAATGGTCACTCTCAGTGCGGGCATCAATATAAAAATGCTGTAAATTATTTTTAAAGGATAAAGGGATTAAAACATAATCTAAAACGCTACAACCTCTAGTTGATACAAAAGTAAATTCCCCAGGGATATCCCTATTATGGGAACCATTTAGGACAAGTTTATCATATTGGATGCAAATTTTAGTATGAAATATGCCCACCTGGTTAATATGAGGGTCTTTGGAGGACCTAAAAAAACTAAAGAAATTTGGGAGGGAGTCGTTTGGGTCTAGGTTCAGAGCGGCCAGAAGGTCCTGGTCATCTTTACCAATTCTGGCATTAAAACCACTGAGAAGGATAATATCTACTATGGGAAAGCGAAGTTCTAGTTGTTCAAGATATGAAATCAAGCGGTCCCAAAGGAAGCATAAGGACAATTTGTCTGGGGAAGGAGGTAAATAGACGTTGACTGCAATAAAAGAAAAATCCTGAAGACTAAATAGGAAAGCATGGGCAATGGGGTTACAAGCAGGTAATTCCAACAATTTGAGTTTGGACGATCTGTTGTATTACTTGTTGCCAGCTGGTTCATATATTCCTGTTAATCATCTGATGGCTGAAGCAACAGGGGATATCTTGGACGTATGAATGGGTCAGAGGTACAGTACCTCCTCCATTTTCACTCACATTACCTCAGATACACTGCTTTTAAGTTGCCAGGCATCAGTCTTGTTGATGATTTCATCCATGTAAAAATGGACATATGGAGTTGGCTGCAGCGACCTTCCCAACAATTCTATGCATTCAAGGGTCCTCTCTGCCTAGAGGTTACATGCATACATCCAAATGCTATGTCTGCAAGGTCCATGCCTTCCCTTTGGCAAACAGGATGTTACTTGCACAGACTGTATACAGAGAAAGCCCTAAATGTGTGACGGGCCTGAGGTTTATTTATTTACCTGGAATGTTTATATACCTCACCTTTCTCCCCCCAGTCAGGACCCAAGGCAGGTGAAAACAATAGATACAATACAAAAACAACCATTTATTAAATTAATTAAAGCACATAATTAAAGACAGGTCCTTAAAGCCAGAGCCCATTCAAGCTGTACTATGCACTCTTCAAAATAGTTCCATCTTACATCTCCAGCGGAAGGTTAGGAGCCTGCCTCACCCCTTCCAGGGGGCTGCTTCATAGCAGTGGGGCAGCAACAGAAAACACACAGAGCAAAGGGACCCTGTTGTGAGGAGTGCACAGGTTCACATCAAGACAGATGGTCCTTTAAGAAGCTGTGTTCCCACCTTTGTCCATTAATTCATTTTTACATAGATAAACATGTTAACAGGGCTAAAGGGTAAACACAGAAAAAGAAATGAATCGATACATGCACATGTATAAACTGGGATTTTTTTTGTTTTCATTTACATTCCTAT